GACAGTTCCTCATAAAAGATCAAAGACATCTGTAGGAGCCTCTAGAATAGAAGAGGCTGCAGAGGTTGTACAATAAAGGAGGGGAACAATAGTGAGGAACAAGATGGAAGGGGGATGTGGAAAAAGCAGCCCTTATGTTTAGGCAAACTGTGAGTCTATGGAAGCAGCAAGAAAAGTCCCTTCTTACTGAGCCACAACAGTGGAACAACACAGCCTGCCTGAGGACATGCCTTGCTGTCATTTTCAAGGAAAACAGAAACTACTTGATTCCAGATGGATTGACTTACCAGGATGAAGGTATGCTAAAGTTAAAACTCAGTTGCTACTGAATAAATGAAAGGAACATGTCTCAAACAAAGCCAGTCCAAGGGGGTGGATTGGTTCCACTAACTGAATTGAAATAGGAATTCTGACAATCCCCAGCTGTCTGATTTTGATTGCCTTTCAGAGCAATCTCCTATTTCCTCTGAGTCTCAGAATCCTCCCAGATAAAGTGCAGATGATATTTTCCCTGCCAGCATCACAGGAATGTTTATAAATTGCTTTATAAACTATTCTGATGCTGCTGACATGCTGCATTGAGGGACAACAGGCCATAAGAAGTTAGGGTAAGTTCACCCCCAGGGCAAGAGTGAGGGAGCTGGGAGTCCAAAAACCAAAGAGGGAAAAAGGACATGCCCAGGACATGGCAAGGGAGCTGATAGAATAAAAGCCCAGGCTCTGGTGAGAGCATGGTCCATCCTGCAGTTATTTTGAGGATCCATGGAGCGCTCCAGGGTGACATCTACTAACTGCAGCATCTTCTAGTCTTTGTTAAGAAACTCAATTCTGTCACCAAAGAAAACTATGTATCCTTTCCCTCTTTATTTTCCCAACCCTATCAAACAGATACTCCTATCTTCACTTAACAAAATATACTTTCCTTAAAGGAGGGGAGTTCTGATTTTTGCAAATGCTGGGATCCCATGCAGGACTTTGGATAGAAGTCCAGTTGTACTGGTCACACCTCACAGTTGCAAAATAATGAGGTTTGATGTCAGCAGACTGGGGTCAAGGCCTAACTCTCTCACTTTTTATCTTTCCATTCTTCATTGAGTCACTTACATTTTCTGACTCTCTACTTCAGGAGGTCTTTGTAGATGAATCATTATCCACCATCCCAGTTCAGGGGCTTTCAGACTATTTACATTGTGTCCCTCTACACCCACCCAACCCAATATAGGTGCATGGCCTTCCCTTTGGGCTTACAGATGTCTCAAAGTATATATATGTGTCTGTGGGTTGTGGTGAGAGAGGAAAAGGTGCCCAACAGGGATATTTCAAAGGCATTTGACCCATCCTTTCCTCAACCCTGCTGTGCAGTGAGTGAGCTAATCATGCTCTCCAAAATCTTAGGTGTCTCCTGCAGAAACAAGAGTTTACTACTTGAGTTGCTGGAGATTTTCTTCCAAAGAAGACCATAGTATAGATCTCAAATCTCTCTACTACATATTGCGACCCTCTACTGCTATGAGGGTTTAGTAAATGATTGAGGAGAGCTGAACTGGGTGACTGGCCAAGAACCTGAATTAGTTTTCCTTTTTTGTAATTTAAAAATGTTAATTGGAGCTAAATCTTTCTTCCTTCTATTCTTCCATTACTGAGTTGAAGCTCTAGTTGAACACTCATCAGTTTGCCAAAATTTGGCATGATTTGTATATAAACATACATCTATCTCCCTGTCCAGAGCCTGGACATTTACTACAATTCACCACTGTATTCCCAGCACCTGGCACTGAACCTCACCCTTTTAGTGTCTATGTACAATTAGATCCATTAAAGTAAAGGTCAGGTTTGCTTGTGGATCTCTAATTGCTTTCCTATGATTTGCTTTTAATAATGGAGAGGATGGATACCCATGTTTTCTAAAATCTTAGCTGGCTGCCCACGAAAAAGACTTTGCAACTTGCACTGTGCTGGAGACATTCCTACTTTTTGGTTTTAACTGGCTACAGTAAAGATCCCAGGTGGTTTTTTCAAATAGACCCTGATTCTTCTCTCTTGGAAAAAGCTTGAGAATAAGGTTTTGTTTTATTTGGGAAGTTTCAGTCCTGGAGCACTTAAATTTTGCCTACCTGGATTTGTCCAGTACATCTATATCCCCACCATGATATACTCTGGGTGAACAGAAAATATCAGCCAACTAGTGGAAGTTCAAGTTCCACCTTCACTCACTTTTTCTATTTTAGCCATTTGTTTGTACAATGGAGAGTCTTATCCCTGTCTCCCTTGGGATTATCCTGAGGACCGAGTGAGATAATAGTTGGGAAAATGTCTTGTAGCAAGGGGCCAGAGTGGGAGAAGTGATAGTAAGTGTGAATTGTGCCCAAAATAATCCTAAGGAAGGAGTCAGATTCCTCTTGTTTGATCCAGACAAATATTCAGTAACAGGCTGGACCTGTGCAGCAGGTGAAAAAAGTATTATAACTGGTTCCTAAATAGGTTGAGAAGGGATGTTGGAAACATTTGAGTCCATAATGTCTGACGGTTAAGCTATTCTGTTCAAACAAAATTTCTGAAAAATCTTGGTGATAAATGCTCTAGAAGTCTGTGGTGATAAAATGTCCTGTGTGGTGCCCGAGGGAGGTGCATAACCCATGGCCCCAAGAAGGGCTTCACACATAGATCAAGGCAGACTTATTGTCCGGGTAACAGGAATTTATTTCACTGAACTCCAGCATATAAAGTCAACTCTCATCTTGGTGAGATTTAGCTTTATATAGACCAGAAAAAAATCCCAAGGCCTATTATATCTTTGTCATTAAATATTAAGACTACTTTGTCCATTTCTCCATCATATTGCATTATGGGGAATTCCACATTAGTCTGTCTCCTCTGAAAGACTAAGAACTTCTTTATTGAGGGAATGTGTAGGGTTCATTTCAACTTTCCATTTTCCATGTCTAGCACAAATTATGTGAAATATAGTGAACCTTTCATGAATGTTGTGAAAAACTTTGCCAGTAATATTTCACTTTTAATTAATCACTTGTTTGCTTTGCCAGTTAACAACTTCTTTTAGCTACTTTAACCATCTTATTATACGAGAGAAGGCCTGGCAATTCTTTTATGGTCTGAAGTGCAGATATGTGTACCTTTGGGCCTCTACATCTTCTTCTTAAGGCTTTAAGGCAGCAGTTCTCAATCTGTGGGTCATGACCCATAGGAACTGTATTAAAGGGCTGCGGTGTTAGGAAGGTTGGGAACCACTGCTTTAAGTTTAATGTGTCATCCTCTACTGCTGCTAGAAAGTACGTCCTGAGGTCATGGTGCCACCAGGTCTGAGGTCCACCCTTGTCATGGATTTGACAGCAAATCCTTGTTCTCTTAGTCTGCACCTTCTATCCCAAATCACATGATAATCCTTGGTCAATCTCTGCTCCATGCCCTCTCTGTCTGCCTTAATCAGATTCTCTTTAAATACATAATCATTTCTGCATAGTCCCTCAAAATACTTTAGTCACATTCTCCTTTTCTCATAATTTCTTTTGGCTTGGAGTCCATATAGTTTCTTAGACATCCCAGTGGAGCTAATTAAATACAATAAGGATTTCAAGAATTTACAAAGCCTTATAATCTGAACCCTAGTTTTTCTATTCCCAGTGATTCCCATTGTCTAAAACTTAGGCTAAAATTCCTTAGTTTGGCATATAAGCCCTGCACAATTTGACCCCTCCCCCCCAATTTACCCTTCTGGTCTAACCCCCTTCAAACTACCCCCTATCCCTCCATGTTCTGGAGTCAGCACACTAAATCATTTTTCATTCCCTGCAGAGTATTCTTGGTTTCAAACCTGCACCTGTACAGCTAATATTGCTTCTTTCCTTTGGAATTATTTTCCTCCAACTTGTCCATTAGACAATTTCTTATCGATGTGTTTTTATTTTAAATGTTTAAAAACTTCATTGTTATGGGCACATAACAGTAGTATATCTTTATAGGGTGCATGTGATGCTTTGATTCAGACATACAGGAAGAAATAACCAAATTAGGGTAATTGGAGTATCCATCACCTGTTCTTGTCAATTTTTTGAAACTAGTCCAGATCACCTCCTCTCTAAAGACTTCTGACATCTCAAGCAACTCCAAAAAGTCTCTCTCTCCCTCCCCCGCCCCCCACTCCCTTAGTCCCTGTCTCTTTCTCCTCTCCCTCCCTCTCGTTTTCTCAGCTCTCTTTTAATCATTTGCATATGCCACTTATAAAGAATTGAAACCATACTTGTGTTTGTCTTTGCCACCAAAGCTCTTAGCTTCCAAGAGCCAGGCAGCAGGAAATTTTCATATTTATTTGCCCAGGATCCAGCAGACTGCCTCGTTCATCACTCTTGCCAGTTATATTCTTTCTGAGTCAAATTAACAGCACTTGAACTCACCCAGAAGCATCTTGGAATGTGCCCACGAGAGACTGTCATGATGACAAGATCTGGAATTTCCACCATCTCTAGTTAAATTGTCTGTGGTCCCTGTTTTTAATAAACTGTTTTGCTTGAACCTGGGATGAATGAACACAGCCAGGAAAGGAAATCCATTTCCTCTGTTCTGCCCCATCCTCATGCTACCCTGCCTGTTTACACAGTGACTTATTACTTGATATGTCAAGTATAAACAGATTCCAGCAGGGATTCCAGTTTTAGAAGCAGCCGTGCTCTTTATAGGAAGGGTTTGTAGCAAAAAAATTCAGAGTGTATCCTAGATTTTGTTTTCTTTCAAATAGGCATTCTCCTGTCTTCACTGGGTGGAGATTCCCAAGGAAACCAAAAGATCAATAAGAAATTCTCAGTTCACACTACTTCCTGACCGTTTCTTCAGGCATCTCTTATCGTTGTTTGTCTAATTATCCATAAAAACAGGGCCAATACCTCATCCAGGGGCTTTATTTAAAGCTTTGGACTTCCAAGGTACAAAACTATCATTTTCTTTTTGCCTCCTGTTTAAGGGGCCAGTCTCTAGAAGCCACTCCTCCGATCCCTGTAAAGAGTGGATGCTTAGAGGCTCAGGAGGAATCTTCCCAGATTATCAAGAGAGCTTCCCACCAACAGCCCTGAACAGAGCATCCTTGACCTCTTTGTTCCTCAGGGTGTACACCACAGGGTTCAGTAGGGGGGTGATGACAGTGTAGGTCACAGAGATCAGCTGGTCCTGATCCCTGGTGTTCTCTGACTTGGGCTTGAGGTAGGCGATGGAGGCACAGCCATAGTGGACAATGACCACAGTGAGGTGGGAGGCGCAGGTGGCAAAGGCCTTCTTTCTGCCCTCAGCAGAGGCAATCTTGAGGATTGTAGAGATAATGAGAACATAAGAGATGAAAACCAGACCCATGGGTACAACAAGCACCAGCACACTAATGATCAAAGTCAAGATCTCATTGACAGTGGTGTCAACACAGGACAGCTTCATCACAGGTCGGATGTCACAGAAGAAGTGGGCCACCTTTGTGGCACAGAAAGGTAATCTGAAGACAGATGTCACCTGTGTTATTGCTACAATCAGGCCAATGCTGCAGGCCCCCCAAACTAGCTGGGCACATACCCTCTTGTTCATAATAACTGTGTATCTCAGAGGGTTGCAGATGGCCACATAGCGGTCATATCCCATTGCCGTGAGCAGGAAGCAGTTAGTAATGCCAAAGGTTACAAAAAAAAACATCTGTGTGGCACAACCTGCCAGGGATATGGACTGGCTCATGCCTACAAGGCTGGACAGCATCCTTGGGAGAATGACCAGTGTGTACACAGTCTCTGAAGTGGACAGCATACTTAGGAAGAAGTACATGGGTGTGTGAAGGTGGCGATCAACTCGGATGATGCTTACAATGATCACATTGCCTGCTAGGGTCAGGACGTAGAGTGCAAGGAACACCCCAAAAAGGGTGATCTGGTGCTCATGGAAGCTGGAGAAACCTTGCAAAATAAACTCAGTGATTAGAGTATAGTTCTCTCTCATCCTTGAGTGGTCACCAAATCTAAAGTGTAGAAGAATAAAAGTTACATCGTTTCTGCAAAGCAGTTTAAACATATTTCTGAAATTGATTTGGTTTCACTAATTCTCAGCTATAAATCTGAGAATATACTTCCTAGTGGATTCAAGTTAATCCTTGGGCTGATTTATCATGACTTAAAATACTTTTACTTTCCGACGCACCCTAGAATCACACTCTTTCTTTCCTCCTATATAACCATGCATGTTCCTGATCCACTTCTGCTCATCCTCCCTGACTTCTGGAATGGCTTCTTCCTTCTCTCCTCTTATTTCATTCTTTCCTATTTTTCAGAGATCAATGCAAGCTTTCATCCCTCCATAAAATCATATTATACCCTGATGTTCTCACGTCTATTTGGATTATTTTCTATACCCGTTATTGCTGCCTCTCCTTACACAGATACTCAGCAAGTTTATAATAACGTCTCTATGTTTTCATATTTCTCTAGTTCAGGATTATGCATGAATTGGGTGTTTGAAAACCATTTTTTTAGGGATGGACTGGATACTTCATTCTGTCAAGACTCTGAATCATCCCCCTTGCTCATCTTTTAGAAAGTAGAAGCAAAGCAGAAAGGCTCATCTTGTCCTCAAGAACAAAAAGGCAAATCTCAAGCAACCACCAGCCTCTCCCCACTGCTGTCTGAATGATGGAAGTCTGCTGACAGTTCACAGCTCTGATTCACATGTTATAAACTATGCTACATCTTTACCTTCCCTAAACTAGAAGGCAAATTTACAGCCAAAACAACTTTGTGAGTAGGCATACACCTACTCTGCAGAGGTAAACAATACGATCAGGAAAGATCTAGCAAATTTAAGTGTCCCTCACTTAAAGCAAAATCCAACCCTGAATATAAAAGAGTTACATTACACATATATCACTTTGTTGAAGGATGGGGATCAGTTCAATTTATGCAATATTTCACATTTTTGTCTCTTGAAACAGTAAGCTCCTGTAGGGTATTTAAATTATATTCTGATTTGCTGATGCATATTCAAAAAAGCTACCTTTTGCACAAAGTAAATCGTGTCAATGATGGTTAGTGAATATGAAGCCTTTCTTGAACTTTATAAAAGTCTATTTAAAAGAAGTTGATGACTAGCTGTTAATCATTTACACTAAGAGCTAAAAAGAATAAAGGTGCAATAGAGAATATTTCCCAATACATAAAATCATTTGAGATGAAAGTGTGTGAATAAAGACTTGCTTTCTGTGAGGGCTCTGAGCTAAAACTAGGCAGTAGTCCACCACAGGGGCAGATTTTGCCATTTCTATGGTAAAATCAGAAATGCCTGGCCGGGCTTTGGATTTTTATAATGACAGGCACGGATGCTATTGGCAATTAGTGATGCTAGATGCAATACATGTGATGATCCTGCCCAAGGAAGAATTGTCCTATTTCAAATACCAATAAGGTTCCTATTGGACCAGGTCATGTGATCTGACTGAAGCCTGTCTATCTTGAGGTAGAAGAAAGACTACTGTGACCTGGTTAGCATCCTCCACACTTGGAAGCTTATAATTCTTCAAAGGAAATCAAGGGAAAGAAGAGCAAACACCTTCTTATGAAGACCTCCCAGTTGTTGAGGGGAGGTGTTATTCCACAATAAATCAAAGTCAGCCAATGGGTAACAAGTCCCATTCTGTTCGCTTTCCCAAAGAGCACTTACATGGCCCTGCCTAGCACTGAGGCACACAGGAGAGCTGGGCTGGAGGAGGCCGAGGAGTAAAGACTGAAGTGTGGGGCTCCCTTGGCCACAGCATGCAGGTGCAGAGAAGAGCAAGGTGACCAAGAGAGCCTAGGACAGGCTGAGGCCCAGCAGGCAGGGATGAGCACATTCTAGTTGAAATGTGGTCAGGCTTGGGAACCACAGGTACTCCTGACAGCCTCTTTATGTGGGAGAACCTTTGTAGTCAGAAAGGGTGCTCTCCAGGGATCAGCCAGTTGGCTTCTGGGGGTCACTCCCTGAAGACATTCTGAGAGCCACCCTGGGGCTGGGAGGATGCAGACAGCAGGTACCCTGGGACCTCATTATGGGTGGGGCTCATTTACTCAATTCCAAGGTGAGGGCTTTGGGAGCCCAGGGTAAGTTTTTACTTCAGATAGGAACAGCATTAGTTCCTGTTTATTTAGTTGAGTATTACTTGTTTGAATAATTAAGCAAATTGTGTGTGTGTGTGTGTGTTTAACAGATGTATCTTGGAGATCCATAGTGATAAACCCAGGCACTCAAGCTTGGGGCCAGGCCATCGTGGATCCCAGGAAGTTTAGGCCCTTTAACTTATAGGCAGGGACTCTACCCACTCTAGCAAACTGGTTTTATTTTTGAAATAAAAGTGTTCCAGTATGGCCGTGGCTCTGCAAAGGGCAGTTCATGCTATTTTCTTCACCAAGGGCATTCAGGGTTGGACGTGTACTGTCTTTAGACCAGTAGTTTTCAACCATTTTTAAAAAAATCTCACAGCACACTTGAACCTATAGCTAAACTTCTGCTGCACACTTAAATTATGTTGATCAAAACAAAGAGTAAAAAAAGTAATATACTTACTGTGCTTTGAAATTCTTTAGAAATATTCTTCTTAGTGAAGTATCTCAGGAATGGAAAAAAAATCCAATGTACTAGGTACTACTATAAAACCAATTTATAATCATTCACACTTTCATATGAAAGATGAATCACAACTATAGCCCAGGATGAAGGAGGGAAGGAGAGGGGGATGGAAAGGGAGGGGGGTTGTTCAATAGAGGGAGAGTTAATGGTGGGACCACACCTATGGAGCATATTGCAAGGGTACAAGTCACAGCTATCAAGTATTGAACACAAATGTCTGTGTTTAAGTAAATGAAGTGAAACCTATGTTAATTAGTAGGATGTAAGCACTCCAATTTGTACAAATAATCAACACATTGAATCCTACAGAGGCATAAATGTATTCATGATCTATGTATATATGACTTAATAAAAAGAGGAAAAAAGAAAAAAAGAAAATAACTCAATTAATGATCTTTAAAAATTTTCATGGCACACCTCAGATCCTCTCATGGTACAGTGAGCCAAGGCACATAGGTTGAAAATCATTGCTTTAGACCCACAGATTCTGTCTGGAGGACTAGAAAACAAGAGATTAACTTTTGAATACTCTGTTCTCTTCACCAATGCATCCTTCCATTCCCCATTTGACACACTTTTACTAGTCTGTCAAGACCCAACTCTAAATTTACTTCTTATTGAAAACTTTCCATGAGTTAGTTACAACCTAAATGCCCATCAGCTCAGGAATGGATTAATAAACTGTGGTGTATGTATACCATGGCATACTATTCAGCCACAAAAAAGATGGCGACTTTACATCTTTTATATTAACCTGGATGGAGTTGAAACACATTCTTCTTAATGAAGTATCACAAGAAAATGGAAAAGAAAATACCCCATGTATTCAATACTAATATGAAGCCAGCAGATGATCTAATACATGCTGACATAAGAGAAAAACACAGATCAATTCAAGGTGGGGGTAGGGGGTGTGCGGTAGGGGGAGATGGAGAGGATTGGTGTGCTCCCACATAATGGGTACAATGTAAAGGTATACGGCATACCTCCTGGATGCAGGAACAACTTATAAGAGGGACTTCTAATAAATGAAAATACTGTAACCTAGTTGTTTGTAACCTCACATTAACCTGAAATAAAAAAGAATTCTTGGGCAAGCCTGTGGGGTTTACCTGTGCCTAATCACCCTTTAAGTACTTAGCAATGTCAGACCTTGTGCTAGTTGCTGGAAACAGACGTGGACAAGATGCAGATCAGATGCTACCCCAACTTCTTAGGATCTCATGGTTTATTTTTAGGTGATAAACAGTAATAACAAACAGAAACGTAAGTGTGAGAGAAACAGGGAGGAGACGGTCCTTGATTTGTTTGTGTCAGGTTGATTGTAGAAAATTACATCATACAGGTAAAGTGAGACCAGGTTACAAAAGGTTTTAGAGCATTTTGATTCATCACTTCTAAGGACCTCACAAGGGATTCTCACTTATCTCTCCTGTTACTAGACTTCAAAGTTCCGCAGCAACTGGTCTCTTAAGGAAATAAAGTTCATTACCACCGGCCGCCTATGCCCTTCTACTGTCCATCTGGTCATTTTGCTTCCCCACTGGAAGAAGACATACTCAGCACTGAGATGTGGTGTGTTGAGTGGCAGCAGTGTGAAGATGAACTTGAGATTGGTAAAAGGAATCAGGAAAACCAGCTAGAATGCTGATGTAACAGAGAGAATCAGGGTGGATCTTGAGGGGTGACAATGGGCCCAGAGGAAAGGGATGAATTTGAAGCAAATGAGTAGGGCTTGTAACTGAATCAGTGTGTGCATCACAGGAGACCAAAGAATACATTCTTATTACTCTTATGAGGTTCATTCATGCCCATTCTGATTGTTTACAAATATACACAACTTCTTCTTGTAACAGATGAATCAAGAAAATGTCTCTGTATTGATAGTCCTTTATAGATATCATAGGGAGCTATGAGATCTCACCAGCAAAGCAGGAGAGAGGCCAAAAGAGCATCAATGCTTTATGATGTCATTGCTTCAGGGATAATTGGGAAGATTTTAGAAATGGGAAACTAGGTTGATGGTATAAAAATATGGCACCTGGTAAAAGGGAGAGGTGTTCAGCTTCAGCAGTAACTAATATTATAGAACGGTTTCACAAATTTTTGTCTTACTTCCTCATCCTCCAAATGATCTTATAAAGTCATCAGCAGATCCCATTTTATTAATGAGAAATGAACAAGAAACCCACTCTGCCCCCAGCAGTTATCACATTGAGATTTTGTGCTATAAAGAAACGAACACATGTGGATTGACTATAGAAACAAAGTTGGAAAAATAGCCAAAAGAGCTTGCTATAAACTCCCCTAGCTCTGCAACTGCTTTATTTGAGGACTGGATTTCTGTAGTTCTTATTATAGTTCATTCGCAGTGTTCCATTCAGCTTAGGATCCCAGGTCTAGACCTCCTATTAAGGCTTCAAAATTGTTAATGGGAGTCTCTCAGAGTCTGAATAGAGCTCACAGTTCTTGAAGTTATGTCTCTTCCCACACTGTCTTCTACCCTATTCTTGTCACCTAGAGCTAGGGTGTCCAACTTCCCTGTGTGTGCAAAGTCCTTTTTAATTTCATGAATCTCCAACTTGACAATAGTTGGATAACAATGTATGGGTAGAAAAAATAAATTGTAAAAAAAGCAACTATAAATTAGGAGTTGATGCTTTCAAATGAATTATGATACATTCAGAAATAGTTGCAGGGGCTTTTCTCAGCACTTATTCAGACAGCACATGGGGACTGGTGCACACAGGAACCCTGGGCTCCTTGCAGTGGCCGAGGCAAGTAGGAGAGAGGAGGGAATGATGCCTAAGATGCCTCTGGTAGGTCAGTAAGTAGAGATGGGGAAGGGACTGATCCAGTGGGGTAGCAGTGGATAAAAACACAGATTGGTGTTGAGAGGTGTGTTGACATGTGGTAGCTTTATCCAGGAAGCAATACTTGGAAGACCTTGATAGATCAGTTTTCTATCACTGGAGCATAGGACCAGGGGCTATAGCAGAAGCCCATTTACAAAGTCAGGACCTCCTAAAAGCAGGGAGCTCCCACTGCAAATGAGGTTGTGTTCTCTAGAAGCAGAACCTTAAAAGAGGTCCTGGCTACAGTGAAAGATTAAGGGGATACTCTCAGAGAAAAGGGAGCAGGAGATACAGGATGAGACAGTGGACTAGCTAAGCGAAAGTGTGGCCTCAGCTCAGGGCTAACTTCAACCTGATCTAATAGAGAGATCTAGAATTATGTCCTAAAGGTGGTCCCATTTCAGAAAAGGTGGACTGCCTTTTGTACCTTCTGTGTCGTTCAGACATTCCTTGTGGTCTGCCCCTGAATTACGTGTGGCCTTAGCCCCCTTTCAGCCAAGGGCAATTCCTCACTGCAGATGCAGAAGAGGGCAGCTGCAGATCAGTTAGCATTTCAACATCCATATCAACTGGGTGTGGGCATGCCAGCCAGCAAAGGGGGTCTGTGCAGAGTAACCACAGAGCCCATTGTACTACCCAGGTGTCTGGAGAGAGGGGACAGACTAAGAAAGACAATTTTATGGTTTTGCTTAGGCTGCTCAAAATCGAAACTTCTTAAACATCTTATAAGTTGGCCATCAGAGTCTGTGTCTGACATAGCTGTCTAGGACTACTTATGCAGTATAGGCTCAAGGTCAATAATTAATGAAGTGAACTGTTTTGTTGTTAACTGTAGTGCAAAATGAAGCATCGGAAGTGTCATGTGTAAACAGCGGGGAGCCTGTGATCTTAGTACCCATATTTTCATGCTGAGGTGAGATTCAACTAAATAAATTCCTGTGATATCAAACTATATATTCCTCCTAGTCTCCCTGCTGGTTGGTTTACATGCCTTATACCTGTGGTCCCCAACCCTTGGGCCACAGACCAGTATCAGTGCAGTGTGTGGCCTGTTAGGAACCAGGCCACATAGCAGGAGGTGAGTGAGTGGCAGGCAAGTGAGGGAAGCTTCGCCTGTATTTGCAGCTGCTCCCCATCACTCACCTCACTGCCTGAACTCTGCCTCCTGTCACATCAGCCGTGGCATTGGTATCTCCTAGGAGGGCAAGCCCTCTAGTGAACTGTGCAGGTGGGGGACCTAGGCTGAGCTCCTTATGAGAATTAATGCCTGATGATCCGAGACGGAGCTGAGGTGTTAGCACTGGGGAGTGGCTGCAGATACAGATTCTCATTAGCAAGAGGTTTGACTGCACAGAGACCATAATACGTCAGTTGCTTGCAGACTCATATCAAAACTACCTGCCCTCACAGTCTGTAGAAAAATTATTTTCTGTGAAACCCAGGTGCCAAAAAGGTTGGGGACCATGCTTTATGCCATAAATAACAGGGATCGTGTCTAACATGACTATGGACATGCTCTGTCTTATTTGATTTCCATCAAGCCTGATAAGTCCATCTCTATGGCTTGGCAAACCCACTCACCTGTTTTCTCATCAAGATTTTTCTTCTTTGTTTCAGTCCAGCCTCTCATTCCCAGATGCTTCCCAGCCCAGGCTTCTGGCACCCTCACGCCCTCTCCTATCTAGCTTCCTCACAGCGACACCTTACCGAACTTGCTTCCTGTCTGGTTATTCAACTTGCCAGCACCTAGGAGAGGGGCTTTCTGCCTAAGGTTCTGAGCAAGGCATTCTTGACCTCTTTGTTCCTCAGGCTGTATACAACAGGGTTCAACAGGGGCGTGATGACAGTGTACGTCATGGAGATAAGTCTGTCCTGCAGGGAGTTTTTGGATTTGGGTTTTAGGTAGATGAAGGAAGTACAGCCATAGTGGACAATGACCACCGTGAGGTGGGAGGCGCAGGTGGTGAAGGCCTTTCTCCGGCCCTCAGCCGAGGCAATCTTGAGGATAGTGGTGACAATGAAGACGTAGGAGATGAAGATCAAGACCATGGGCAGAACAAGGACACAGAGACTGATGAGCAACGTGATAAATTCTTTGACCGTAGTGTCAGCACAGGCGAGCTTCATCAGGGGCCGGATATCACAAAAAAAGTGGGAGATGACGTTGGCATCACAGAAGGGCAGGCTGAACACGGAAGACACCTGAGTGACGGCTATGGTCAGGCCGATGCTCCAGGAGCCACTTGCCAAGTGTATACAGGCTTTTCTACCCATGATGACTGAATATCGTAGGGGGTTGCAGATGGCCACATAGCGGTCATATCCCATTGCTGTGAGCAGGAAGCAGTTGTTGACACCAAAAGTGAGGTAGAAGAAGAGCTGAGTGGCACAGCCTGGGATGGAGATGGCTTGTTGGGGGCTGAGGAGACAGGACAGCATGCGGGGGATAATGGCCACAGTATAGCAGGTCTCAGAGATGGACAGCACACTCAGGAAGAAGTACATGGGGGTGTGAAGGTGGTGGTTAAGGTGGATAACTGTCAAGATGATAGCATTGCTGGCAAGGGTCAACAGGTACAAGGCTAAAAAGACCACAAAGAGGATGAGTCTGTGATGCCACCCAAAAATGGAGAAGCCCTCAAAGGTAAACTCAGTCACAACTGTGAAATTCAGTTGTACCATGGAGGTGAATCTGGATCTGAAAGAGATGAAGTGGGAAGGTTGAGCAACTGGGCTAGGAACACTATAGTCTGGTTCAGGATCATTATCAGCCATGGGCAGGGACTCAAAAAGGGGTGCAGTTCTGGGTTGTAGCAGCTCTCAACATTTCAGACACTGGCCAAGTGCTCAAAGATCTCTAAGGTTCTCAGGGCCCTGAGCCTGGGGGGGCAGATGCAGTGTTTGGGGGGACAATAAATATGTGAAGTCTGTGCATTTGCTCCTCCACTTAAGATGAGATCATGTCCTTTAAGTTGAAATATCTTAAGCTGAAATGCATTTAGTGAACCCAACCTTCCAAGCATGAGAGCTCAGTTTGGCCTACCTTAAATGTGCTCAGAACACTCATACCAGCCTACAGCTGGCCAAAATCACCTAACACGAAGCCCTTTTGGGAATCTCACATAATTTAATGAATATTGTGCTGAAAACAAAAAACAGACTAGTCATAGGGATACTTGAAGTATGGTGTCTACTGAATGCATATAGCTTTTGCACTATCTTAAAGGCAAAAAATTATAAGTTGAACCATCCCAAGTTGGGGATCGATTCCATGAATTGGAACGCTTTAACTAGCTTGTCTAGAATGAAGTGTAAACCAGAAAAAGCACTGAAATGACTGTGCACAGATCTGAAACTTTGTTCAGACTCACCTGGTTTAGGTCAGCAATGGTCCATCATGTGTCAGAGGCCAGTGCAAAAGGAACATGCCCAGTGTAGTCAAACCAGGGCCAGATTGCTACATGAGGCCCATTGCTGGGAGGTTAAGAAGTCAGCTCCAACTCTATTCAGAAATGATTCCATTTGGTAAATCAAGGTGGAAAACATTACCTCCTCTCAAAGCTCAAATCCAAAATGGAATAAGGCCATGTGAGCAGACACTGAGATTTTTCTTGAGGAGAGTTCAGTGTGCTGACTGAGAACATTCCGTAGCCCACAGCCAATTCTATTTTCAGTCCCAATCCCTCCTATAGCCTCCAAATATCACTTGCCTTAATACCTGACTCTCCCTCATTCTACATGGAGTGTAATTTCTGCTCCTATTTTCTAGTCTCTAGTTCAACACAATAAAGGCTCTGAAAGTCTTTATGGATTTGAAATGCTAGTAACTATAAGACAACAGTAATAAAAAAACCCAACAAAATGTTTAAGTTTATACAAATCTCGGTCATTAACCCCAGAGTAAATGGATGGCTGCCTGATTTTCTTAGCTCGTTTCATTTGTCTCCATTTGTTCATCTATAAAATAGTGAGAATAATAACATCTACTCCATAGTGTTGCTATGGAGATTATATGAATTATGGTATGTAAATTGCCAAGTGCTGTCCTTGGTGTGTAACAGGCAAACAATACATTAAATTCCTTCTTCCCTCCTTTTATCCGTCCTCTCCATCCCCACCCCTGCTTCTATGTTAGGGCCACCCAAACTCACGTACATGCTCACACGCACACACACACAATTTTCTTTCACTTTTTCATTTTTGCATTTTCACAGATTTTTGTTGTCGTTGATTTCTCCAATGCCTACTGATTGGAAAGTCCCTCCTTCACTTCCCAGACCCACTTCTTTCCACCTCTAAACTCGGAAATGTGGACGGGATAAGAGTGATCTGGAATCAAATGCCTCTGTGATCAAACCCCAGCTCCACTTAGTTCACGTGTGACCTTGGAGGCATTTCTCTTTTCTTTAGCCCTCCATTCCCCCACCCATAAGATAAAGTCAGCATTGATTTCTCCCACAGAGGACTGAATTGATGACTCCCTGAGAATCTGCTCACAGAAGGCGTTTAGCCTTTGAAAGCTCTGCCTGAGAATCTCTGAGCCTGGTGCCCAGATAATCCTTCCTGGGTGACTTTTTTTTTTCAATGTTTATGCTTTTTGATTCCTAAGTTTTGTGGAACGGCTGGATATTCATTTATTTCCCACTTGATAAAATTCTCAGGAGGTGAAAAAAATCAGAAATAAAATTCTCAGGAGGTGAAAAAAATTAGAAAAAGTGATACCCCATGAGACAAGAGCCCTAAGGTGACATTTAGTCACAGACTATGGTCCATCTTACAAGGGTACATGTGAATCTTTCTAAATGCAGAATATAAACGTCTTAACACAATAACTAAGAAAACGCCATGAAGGCTATGTTAACCAGTTTGATGAAAATGTTTCAAATTGTGTATAAAACCAGCACACTGTACCCCTTGACTGCATTAATGTACACAGCTATGATTTAATTAAAAAAAAAAAAAAGAATCCCTGCTTCATCAGTCTGAATTGTGACTTACTTCTCACTGGGCAAGACTGAGGTTCATGCAGAATTCAGGAGAGAGAGGCTCAAAACCCTGAGTTCCAGGACTCCTGTTGTGCTGGGGCAGCCACAGCACCAAAGAATCTTCTGAAGGAGAGGACTAGAAGGAAAACATAGCACCCGCCAGCTTCTTTAAGCAATTTTCTCTGCCCGATTGATCAGATCTGGGAGTCACACAAGGAAAGAGGTGCCAGGGTCTCCCAAAGCTCCCTGGTGCCCTGTCCCTTTATGTCTGGGTCGTGGTTGCAGGCTTTCAGAGAGGACCATTTTCCCATGCCCCAGGACTCTGGATTCCCTCTCCTCCAAACCACAGTGACTGTCCCCAAGGCAACAGTAGCAAAATCCAAACACCATGATGTCTGGGGATCCCATTATAAAACTTGCTCTTCAACCCAGTCCCATACATAGTGCTTAGATAATCTGGCTTTTCCCTAAGGAACAGAGCCTTAGGGACATGGCCCTGCCCTGCTCAGTGGGGGGAGGGGGGTCTCTTGCCTCACGACTCCACCATTATGGAGAGGGCCTCAGAACCCAGTCATTTATAAGGACACAGCTGCACTAGGCAAGTCACCTCACCCGCAATCCTGGGTCTCTCTGTCCTGAGAGCTGAAGGTTCTACCTCAGAGATCCCTTCAGTTCGGATGTTCTAAGCACTGTGGCTATTCATTTATTGATTCCTTCAACAAATACTCATTGAACATTGCTCACATGCCAGGTAAATAGAG